CATGTATTGTAAAGTGTTTCCACCAAAAAAACATGTATTGTAAAGTGTTTCCACTAGAAACATGTATTGTAAAGTGTTTCCACCAAAAACATGTATTGTAAAGTGTTTCCACCAGAAACATGTATTGTAAAGTGCTTCCACAAAAAACATTTATTGAAAAGTGTTTCTACTAGAAACATGTATTGTAAAGTGTTTCTACCAGAAACATGTATTTTTCTTTAAATAAACAGTAAGTCCTCAATTTATTCCTTTCACAATCCTTACTATTTGCTTTTGTTAATTGATTTTTTCCAAGACAACATATAATCATTTGTTAGTTTTAATTTAATTAATTTTGCCAATTGATTACTTTTACTCACACTAAATTTTTCTTCAATTTTGCTAACATCATGTTCCCCTAATATGTTGCCAACATGCTTAATCCATGTTGACTGTGATTTTACCGTTTCATTTAAAGCAGCCTTAAGGATATTGTTACCAGACAAAGTGCTCAGTCTATACCAGTATTTAATTTGTGAAATTGAGGCCTTCAATCTAATAGGAATTCTGCCTAATTCAACCCTGATGCCTATGGATGGGGTCACTTTGCTAACACCCAAAACAAAACGATAGAACTGATTACACACCTGTTCCAAGTTGTTGGCATCATTTGATAATTCATACATCCAAAATTGGCACAGTTAATTGATCAAATAATTTCAAGCACAATTCTGGATTAATCATTTTATGGCTCAGAACAGATTGCCGAATTGTTGTAGTTTCATGTGTGTGTTATTTCTGTATTTTTTGATGAATACTTTTTAATTAACAGTAAATTAAACATACAATAACTCCGGGTAGGTTTAGACGTACAGAAGCCGTAAAACATAGACGTAGTGATCGTATGTACACTTAAACTCACACTGAACTCCACTGTAAACATAACCCATGGTAAGATAACCAATTATTACAAAGCTACGATGTATAAAGCCCAAAACAATTTGAAACCAGAAAATGAATTCGAATTTTTTTATCAATCTATAAAATTGACAAAGTTTGTTTAATTTCTTTTCTATAAAATATCTCTGTATATGTCAATATTCAGATTTAGATAAAGATGGCGCCATCTTGGACTTGGCGTTGGTGCATTGCATCATTGGTGTGTAGTGTCATTAGCCACGTCACACATCTCAGTGGGCAAGGCTGATATTAATAGGGAAAGTCTAGGCTAACGGCATTTCGTTCTATAAATATTCAACTTTTTATTTAGTACACGTTGATTTTCCAGCAAGGAATTGTGGGTAGACTACGACATCATAACATTTGTTTCAAAAAAAATTAAGAAAATGGGTTATCCATAATTTGAGAAATACTGATGTGAATTAGTTCAACATTTTTATTTTACTTGTGTATAATTGTAGTTATGAAATGTTGCAAAGGGATGAAATATGAGGAAAAGTGCCGAAAAGGTACAATAAATCAAAACAGTTTTTTTTGTGGTCAACAGACTATACATAACCTGTATGAGCTACTCTCATCGATAAATTGTATAAAATATACGAAAAATTGAGCGTTTGGCATAAAAATGCAAAAATGATTATTTTAAATTATGTTGCTATGACAACCACGATATCATACTTTATTAATGATCTTTTCCCAGAAGATCAAGATGGTGCACTACATATATACTAATAGAAAGTTGAATATCTAGAAAATGAAAAGTGATATAAAAAACTAAATTGCATTGTCCTATCGGCGATAGTTATAGCGCCCTCGCCGACCATGTCAGGCTAAGTCACATTGTGAGTGGAACACGCCACCAGTCTTAACAATGACATTTTGGGTGAGGAAGGATGGAGACAGATTCACATTGGTATTCACAGAACTGTTGATGAGCGTAACTAAACCTTCTGCCCAGAGTGAGGGTCCAAATTTGTGGTACTGCATTTCTAATTGGCCAATATTTCGCCTGCTCTAAAACCCTTAACCTGACTGGGTCAAAGTCTGTCATATTTTAACATAATTTACCTGGATATTGTCAAAATAAACAGAACTCTATCATAAATATCTCAAGGAGGTCGATTTCTCGTTACATGTAAGTTTAATAATCCACAATATACTATATACAATATTGTGCTGATCATCTGGAGATTGACATGATGCAAATTTCTTTTATTTTATCAGGTATCAGTTTATTTTTTGTTTTATCAGTTCAAAATTAACCCCAGGTGGGCAGACCTTCCCAAATACACACGCTACTAATAAAAGAACAGACGCAGTTTAGAAAAGTCAATACCTCGAACAAACAAACAAGTCATTCACTAGAGTCACTACTGAATCTTCGATCAGTGCACAACCTACCAAAATGGTCATTAACTGACTTTCCACCAAAGAACACACAATGTTATGCACTTGCGGGTGAGGTGACATGTTCATGGATATGTAACAGGCAAAAAAGTCACACACAAAAGCTAATTACTCAAAAACATTCTTTGTCTCTCTGCCCAATGCTCTGTCTTTACTTGGGGTTAAGCTCAAACATAAACAAAATTCTAATTTTAATAGTAACAGAAAACATAAAATTCAGTCTGCAATTACACCAAAACTATAACATTTTGCATTAAAATAATTAATCAGAATTGTGAATGAAGGTACGTACTTTGCATTATGCGTATTATAATTTGTAGAAGTTTATGCTGGGCCACTCATTATAGGGTTTGTGCATATATTTTGTTATTTCTCTAATATGAAGGCTATAATGCGAATATTTTAATGTATAATATCTGTTAACGTATTCCCAACTACTGCATGTGTATAGAACGGTGTTGGTTAGTTCAGTGAGTTATTTTGGGAGGCCGTGTGCAGCATGGATCACCATGTATGTAGCTAGCTGACTTGGCGGTGAATGACTTGTTTATATATTCATGATATTATAATGCTGGGCATCGTCTTTAATAAATAATAATATATCATAGTCCAGAGTCCGATAAAGTACTAAACGCCCATCCGAACTGTTGTCACGTATTACCGATATATTAGCGGATAGTTTTAAAACACAAACTAAAATGATCTATAATCTACCTACGTACACCGTGGTTACAACTTGAAAAAAATGACAGCTTCCGGAGAAGGGTCGTTTCACCATTCTTGAAACATTTGGTCACACTAATATTTTGGCTCTTTTGAGGTAATTGTTTACATATTTAACGAATTCCATCAGATCATTTATTATAAGTTTTCCCCTCGCCTCTCATCTCCGAACTGAATACATCATCCAGTTTCGGGTGATCAGAAATCCTCGAATCATGACTGTTATTAAGTTTCAAGTTATTAGACGATTTATTTTTTTCACCGGAATTTTGGTATTTCTAGAAACTAACAATTGCTTTTCTCCGGGCTCTGCATTTATACCTTTGAATCCATCCTGATTTCCAGCGGCCTTACCAGTGGCGGCGGCACGAAAAAAATGTTGCCCTCTCCAAAATCAAGCTGAAACCCTTTTTGTGAGCAAAATTTGCCCCTCAAAATGCATGATAGCGATAGCGTTTCAAAGGGTCTACAATGCAACATTTTTAAGGGGCATGCCCCCAGACTCAGTAGTCTTAGGCGCCGCAAGCTTAGTGAGCAGATCTCGTCTCCCATGCAAAAATTTGTGCCGCCGCCTCTGTGTATGTAGATGATGGGTGGACGAAGTACAGGCTTGCTCCAGCCGCAGTCCTGGGTTGCTGTGCTCCAGTCGACTTCAAGCAACAGCGAAATGAAGGAGCATGCGCAGACACCGGCGGTTCTCCAGCTGTGAATGTCGCGAGCGCCCAGCCAAGACGGTGAAGGGATTTTCAGCGTACGGTGCAATCTCGGTGTTGGTTACAATTTATGTTAAAACTAGGTATGTATGAATATACTGACTGCGATGTAATGATGCCAGTGTAAATATATCCATTGAAAATGCCATTATGATCGAGGGATACACGGTAGAAGTGAAACTTAACAGTGCACTCGCGTTTAACCAGTAGGTATCTCAGGTATGTATCGGGTCCAATGAACTGAGACGTTCACAAACCAGGTCATGGCACAAGTGCTTGACGACTTATATGTTGTTGTTCGCATAAAATTAACTCTAGAGGCAATATCATTTAAAATACGTATAAATACATGCACAACTAATAGTGCCCACTCTAAAACATGTACGCCTATGGAGGAACATGAAATTACGGGTTACAGATACATGTATATGAACCCATTATTTGTGACCATTGTCTGGTGAAATCAGTCTCACATTTACCGGTAGTATAGTATCACTTGAGCCCCTGTGTATCGTGAACGGTGTTTGATGGTACGATGAAGCTATTTGTTATGAAAAAGGAAATACCCCCCTCCCAACATTGGATGGACGTCAAGATGAAGATGTTCCATTAGAATGGGAAACTTTATACACAACGTCTAATTATTTGTTGGCTTCATAATTGTTACATATTTTCATAAAATTAGCAGGCTTTATTTCTATATTTACGATAAAATACAATATTTCTTATAAGTTATGTCATATTTTATTTGATACAACAAATTAACTGCTCTTCAACATTTTGAAAGTAACAACAATCCTTTTCATTAAATGAAAATATGGATTGTTCTTGTATTTACAGCTTGCACCAGAATAAATTATTCAAGTAAACCGCCATCTCCCTATCCCACCTCCTTTCAACATTCTTAGAAACATTGTCAGTGGTGTTTGTTATGACTGTGAGAAAGTATGAACACTCATTTGCAAATGCAAAGTCCTACTCTGATAGGTTGCTTAAATTTGTCATGTATTTGTTCTGAATTGTGATTGCTGCAAACAATTTCTGTTTATTTTGAAGCCCAGGGTAATAAAATAATTGATCAAGAAACCAGTAGCTGATGAATAATTGTGACTATTTGTGCCCAAATTAAATGAAAAAATATAGAAAAAATACATAAAAATATGCAAAATAATGCATAAAAAGTTTGCCTGGAAAATCCATATTTACACTATTGTTCTTGTATTTTGAAAAAATAATTATTCTTTATTTAGTCTTTTTAAATTAGCTATTAGTATTGTGAAAACACTTCTGAAAATTGACATGAGTTTAGTGAGTTTCCAGGGTGATAATATTTGTCCATATATACAATGGAAGGTTATATCCCATAATGCATTGCATATATGTGCAGTAACATGCTCAGTAGTACAACATTTGAATTCTGCTCTAACTGCTGACAACATGCATAAGTGTTTTGGATGTAACAACATCCAATCAAATTCTTAAATCATGCATTTCAAAGCTTTAAATACTCTCATTCAATATGCGTTTTCATTTTTGGAACTAATGAAAACTGCAGATAGATAGGAAAAACTACATCTGTGATTGCTGTCTTTCTAAGTACATGCTAAAAATGCAATGTCCTGGTTAATGATTCCACTGTGTACAGACCTATGGCCAGTGTTCCCACATAAGCTTTTGAGTGCATCCCATAATGCACCATTTACCCGTGACTTACTATGACTGCTCCTCCATGCAATGCTCTACAAGTATTTGAATTTGATGAGACACCAATATGGTTGCTATGATATCTAGGCAACATTTTTCGAAGTGTCAAACGTGGAAGCCATATATCCTGACCATTACAAGTATTACCTACCAGCAGTTTTAACTTGACCCCTGGTGAAGCCTGGGTCATGTATCCGTGATGACTAAATATAGTGGAGTGATTTATCAAAAAATATGACAATTCTGTTTATTCTATTTGAGCCATGAGGCTGAATAGTAGTGAATTTTCCTCGTATAAATCACACATGCAGAAATCGTCCACTTCTCGGTGTTGTAGCTGACTGGCTGTTCATGACGGTAACCTTCATAACATCATATTTTTCCACTTTTATTCACGAGACAGATTCTTTAGCTGTTTGGTTTGAAACAAAAATATGGCAAAAAAAAACATTATTCACTAAACACAGTTCATGATAGAAGTAATGTTTGTTGATTTCTTTGACTTATAGGTGTACAACTGGCAATATGAGGCGCATCACTAGAAATAATGTCCGCCCCGTCATCAAACCGGAGGATAATGATTTTGAAGTGATATGTGTGATAGAGTTTTCATCCAAAACACCTGATTCCACTCGTGAATGGCTTTTGTCGCATATACAGTCGCCAAGATCTATGCATGGCGCTGAGCTTCTCGTCAAGATCATGTTAGATAAAGATGATAAAGAAGGTAATGTTGTAAATTTTTCAACCATTCTAATTTCAACAAATGTTGACAAACAAATCAGGAAGTTGTACAGCCTTTAAATCCACTTTTACTTCTCCTTAAAGCAGTCTGGGTCAAATTCAAATGTTGTACTACTGAGCATGTTACTGCACATATATGCAATGCATTGTGGGAGAAAACTTCCAATAGTATATAATGGAAAACTATTATCATACTAGACATTGACAAAATTATAATATAAATTTTATCGAGTTTTAACAATTCTAGAATTTGTATCAACAACAACTTCCATATTCATGAAATTCAATGTCATCGAGCAAAATTTTGAGATATGATGAAATAAGCTCACCTTAGAAAGCAGTGCCAATTTTGACCATTTTTCATGACATTTCGGACTCTTGTATCTGAAAAATAGT